AGCTGAGCTATTCTAGGTGGAAAAAGGTAATCCTAAATGGATTGCTATGAAGAGCAAGCAACTATCATGCATATGAAATTGTGAATCTAATCAATCAATTTTATGTTGCTGTTCAGATCAAGGAAAGGCCAAACTGATAGACATCTGATATGGCCTTCTCTTGGAACTTTAAAATTAAAGAATTGTAAATGGATCTGTATAATCACTTGATCAGTTTGATGTATCATTTCAATTAATGTCCATAAGATGAACTAGTCAAACTCTGATATAAGATTACTTTAAAAGAAAAAGAAAAAAAGTTACAATCAATGAAATTATTGGCAGTTTTTATCCCCTGATTGCTGATTAGAACTTTTTACAAAAGCATCTATGTGTAAGAATTAGGATAATAACAAATTCAAAGCATCCACAAAATTTAAATTTTGTGAAACAAAGTATAATGGATCTCTCTAATTGATAATTTTTTATTTTTTTTTAAAAAATAAAAGAAGTCATTTATTTATAAATTTATTCATAGCTGAAATTACAAATATAGCCGTTAAATACAAGTTTCCATTGCCCTTGGCACGCTGAAGTCATTTTCTTTTCCCACCTAACCTTTGATTTTTGCTACTAGGCTGTCCTCTGTCTACATCACCAAATGAACCAGCAAATGTAAAAGCGTCCTCAATCGAGGGGTCCCAAATCAGTCATATAGACTTTTCATCCATATGTTCAATTTTCAACTGTTTTTCTTTTCCTCAGTGAGCTCCATTTATTTTCTACACTATACTCTTGAAATTGCTACACCTTTTATTATCATGTAGCAGATTAGTATCACCACCAACTAATTACAAGTAAAAAGAAAGATAAAATAAATAATTTGTGCCACATTAAGTACCTGTAGTATAGTAACTTGAGCAGATAGTGTAGTAGCCTCTGTTTGCAAAGTCTGCACCTTGTGTTCCAACTCCGATATGTACCTCACCTTCCGCTCCTTGGACCTAGCAGCTGACTGCCTATTTGCCAAGATCCTAAACAGAATAATAAAATAACACACAAAATAAATCACAAAAAAATCAAACATACTTTAATATCTAACAAAAGTCACTCAAACCGGACCTCATACAAAACTCATACCTCTTTACCCGTTTAGGATCCGAGACGGCAATCTCCGCCAGCCTCTCGTCCGTCATAATCTTCTTCAGCTCGGCCTCACTAAACTCCCCACGCCCGAACTCCAACCCAGCAGCACCACCCGGTGAGAGCTGACTCGCCTCCCGACCACAATTGAGCGCCGGGAAAATCCCCGACTCGTCTCCCAAACCGAACTTCCCAACACCACTGTCCATCGAGAGGCTCCGGCAATGCCGGGCAAGCGGCACAACCTGATTCATATTTCCCATCATACCATTACCCCCGCTCATATTATCCCCTGGGCTCGGGCTGGACAGGTGGTCCAAACTCATCAGCGAGTTGACCAGCTCATCCACAGCCTCTCCTTCCGACTTCACGTGGCTGGGCCCACCGCCCGTTTCCTTCATCCTCAGCTCGACCGGCTGGTTATTTCTGGAAAGTTCCAAAGGGATGCTATCGCTGCTCGACCGGCGGTGCCCCCGGCGAGGGGGGAGGCTGTCAGGCGTGCGGAAGGAGAAATGGGGAGCGACAGCTGGCAGGCCCAGTGGCCGTGAGCTGACGTCCATGTCGTCCATGAACACATCTCTCGGGTTGGAGTTGTTGGAGGAAACGATGGATGACTCAGTTGGCGGCAAAGGGCTCAGCGGGGGCAGGCAGTGGTTGGCAAAGAAAACCGGCTGGGACAGTGACCGGGCGTGAGTGGGGCCGGGAAAGGGAGCGTTGTTCGTCGGTTGTTTCAGATTGGGCTGAGCCATTCGAGAGGTTGAAAAGCTATAACGCAAAAAGGGGGGAAAAAAGAAAAGGGATTGTTGCAATTGACGTTGTTTCTAAGTACCACACACAAGATGCGCTGCAAGCACCACAATCACAATAGTCCCGGAACAAAACCCTAACCTAAGCAACAAACAGAATTCTAACTTGATTTGGTAAATGTTCGAGCACCGAATTCAGTTCATCCGCGCTTGAACTTCGCGAAACCCTTCAATCAATTAAAACAAATGAGGTTGAGAAGAAGATAAACACCACAAGTCAAACTCGGTAGCTCAACCAGAGCTGATTCAACAAGAAAGAAGGAAAAAACGAAGAAGAATAAGGAAGAACAAACGAGCAGAGAGCAGGAGCGGAAGCTCGTACCAAGTGAAGTTCAAAAAACAGTCGACAGCTCTCAAAGCTTTAATTCGACGAGTGACGAAGCCATTGCCGTCCAAATAGGGGGGCCAGAGGTTTTTCCGAGTTTTCTTCCCGCTGAATATGGCGTTGATTGCGTTGGGGGAGAAGAAAATTTGAGAGAGAGTGCGTGCGCGCAATGTGTTTGAAAAAGGGACACAGAAAACTTAGAAAGAGACAAAGATCGAATTTTTATTTTTTTTTTATTATTTTTTTTTCCATTTTTAAATAATAAATGGAGTACATATAGCATAGTTTTTACAGTAGCGCTATGGAGCCAATGGTTGGCTCCATAAAAGAGCCAACTATTGGCTCCATAACATTATTGATAGTTTTTATCCTAATCGACTCGGTCATCGGTTCAACCGTCGGGTAATCGAATCAATTGTTGAATCGGATAATATATTTTATAATTATATATAGAGTATTTTGTCATATAAATTTACATAAAAGTAACAAAATGAAATGTTTTATATGTAAAATTTATAGATTAAAATGATAATAATATGTATTTATGATAAATGTATTGAAACATGTTTAAAATGTATTTATTGCAGGACACGTTGCAATACACTATTAGTAAATAAATGTGAATGACTCAATCAACATAGTTATATATGGCTCCATAGCAATGCTGTGTTTAATTTGGTATTATTTAATATCTTCATTTTCACTATTGTTAAAATTGTGTCGTGTGATCATCTTCTTCATTTTTTTATATATGTGTGACAAATCATTTTATATAAATAATTATTTGTTGTTCGAGTAGGTTTGACGCAAGAAAGTGGGATACTTTTCTGTATATTAGAGAAGATGCCTTTGGAAAAATTATTGAAGACTTGTGACTCGTGAGGGAGGTTCTTCGTTTGTATTCACAATTTTCGAAAATATTATGGTATGGTCGGATATAAGTTATTTTGATTTTAATTTAAATATGTTGGTAACTCGAGTCATTTTTGNNNNTCATTTTTGAAAAAAAAAAAAAAAGATGGTTAAATGAGATTTAATTGAGTTTTAAATTTTATATTAAAATAATATTTAAAATAAAAACGATTAAAATTGGTTTTATATATAAATAGGAGAGATGTAACTAAAAGTGTTGGATAGTTGAAATTATGTGAGTTGAGAATAGTTAATAACTTAATTTGTAGTTGACATGTAGTGATATTATTTAATTATATTGATAATATTGAAAAGAATTGAATTGAGTTAATTTTG